AAATCATGAACAGAACAGAACATCACTGCAAAAGGTCCTTCAGGTTCATTGAGAGTGAGCCTCTGGAATTGGTTCTTTTACTCCATGAACTTGAGCAGTTGTCAACTCACAATGATGTCAGCACGAAAAGAGAGGGAGTTCGGTTCAATAAGATTTCATGAATCTTTGTTCTATGCTTTAATTTCATTAGAGATTTAAGTATATCAATTTAAACAAAAGCTGGGAAAATTGAGCTGTACTAAAACATATGACCTATATATGTGAGCAGCTACTATATAACAGAATGTATTCATATCTTTAACATTAGCTAGACTGTTGAAGGATTACTCATCTGAATTATACATGGACAGTATACAAAACATCTATTATGTCCACACACAATTGAATTATTCCATCAAAAATAACAATTCCAGCAGTAGCCAACATCATAATATCTGTGTGACTACCTTATGTTTCACTTGAATTAATTGATAAAACAATGTATCCGGTACCACATATTGTGTGAAATCAAATCAGACCGTACCAGAACGTTCCACTTCTCTATGCACTTCCTCTCATGCCCACTGATGATGAGTGTGAAAATAAGAAATAAGTGAAGTTGCATCATGAAGCCTGACAGTCTGGTAGAGATGTACATATTTCTACATACTTTTTTTTTCCAGATTCATATAAGGTCACTGTGACCTTTGACCAATGAAATGTAATCACTTTATCTATAAGTCCAAGTGACAACTGATAAAAAGAAATTCCCTCAGGCAGTCTAGGGGACATGAACATGTGAACAATGGGAAAGAAACCATGTGAATGACTGTCTTGGTCTCTTGTCTGGAGCTGCTTCTTTTTAAAAAGGGCATTAAAGGCATCCGGTGCAAGTTAAGATTTTTTTTAGACTTCTACTGAAAGCTGAGTCATGCGTTACAAGAAAAAGGGTGTAGACCATACTGTATTACGAAATACTTTCCAGGATTCAATTAGGAACTGCTTCTACAGAATTTGTCTGTTCCACAGATCCTGTAACCATTATGTTGACACTGATGAGGAGTCATGACGGGAAAGTGATGATCACACACAATACCTAATTAGGACTGTTTACTTTTTAGTTTTCTGCCACTGAACTTGAATCCCAGAGTAGTAAAGTATACGTATTTACATTAAACCTAATCACCTAGCATTACTTTTTAAATAAATACTACACAGATAAATCTTTTTTACGACTGTCCAGCTTATTGTTCTTTTCCTGCCGTAAAAGCGAGACAAGGAAGAGGAAATGTTCTGCTTCTCTCCCGCTCACATACGTGGCTCAACTACACCAGATAGCTGCTAGATAAGGTAAAATTCCAGACAGACACCGTCTCTGATTGATAAAATAAATGAAATCTGCATTGTTCTGTCTGATTTCTTTGCTTTGAGTTACAGCATGTGATCTTCAGTGATACTGTGAAATTCAGAAAAATGTCATGTTTCTTTTTTCATGTACTTTTTATTCCAGCGAAACACAAACCAAGCATGAGTACAGACAGCATGTAAGTGTAAAGTACAGTTATCTTATTCAATTTAAAACTATGTAAATAAACTATAATTTGGTTGAGGAATATAGTTTTTATCATCTCTCTAATCAATACAGACTAAACCAACAGATGTTGCATGTGCTGTTCATTTGATGGTTTATTTATTGATGCATATTCACCTTCTTTATTCCAATTCAAGTCTTTACAAGACCTGACTCTGGCACATGTGAAACCTCCTGAGAGGACTTGTCCTGTACCACTCTGACATTGCAGGTGTTGATAATGTTTTATATAAAAGCCATTACTGCTTCCTGTTCTCCTTTAAAAGCAGACTTTTTTTTTTACAAACGCAGCTGACTTTTTTTTTACTTTTTCTCTGTTTTAATTGTTGTTGTTGCTTTTATCTGCTTTGTATTATTTACCCTTTATTGTCACCACTGTCCGTTTCTTTGTCGTTTGATTTGTGAGATTGCACAAAAACTATTGGATGGATTACCACAGAACTTTGTGGAAGGCTGTGGTACGAGGTGTGTGGTTCAAACTTTGGTGTGAATCTGTATCCGGGGGCGGAATCAACCGTTTATTTTTCACTTTCACTTTTTAACATGAGTGTGTGAAATATGGAGCAGCTTGACTGAATTTAAGGGGACTGTTTTTGGTGAGGGTATGTTCTTTTTTAGAAGTCTGGGTAAATGGTCAATAAATGAATTAATAAATCATTATTAAAACCAAAAACATATAGAAATGAACTCCAGTATATCTAAATACTGACCTGCAGCCTCTCTATGATGTTTCTGTAGTCTTTGGAGGTGGTGACGCCTGAGTCTCGTCTCGATGTGTTCTTGGCCGACAGCCTCCAGTTGAGGATGCTCTTCTGTACGACATTATTGGACTTGACAAACAAGTTGTTCACCTGACTGTCCAGGTCAACTGGGATAGCAATGGCTCTGCTTTTAGCTGGGTAGAAGTAAGAATGGAGATATTTCACATTTTTTAACTTGTGTCACAATGTTCTTTTCTAACATAAAGCCAGAGGTCAGTGGTCTGGTATTAGCCCAGTGTCTTACCCACGTCTGAGAGAACTTTAATGCAAGCCTCCACTGAGGCCTTCTGGACAGGGTTCAGCCAGTTACAGTGGTAAACCCTGAACACTCCCTGAAGCAACTGTACAAACACTGGCTGACGAGTCTGAAAGACAGGGAAAAAACAAGTTAAAAAGAACAATAGGATAAAGTAAAGAAAGGAAATACAGTCATAGATGGAGGAGAAAAAGAGTGAACGAGAATTTAAAAACCACCAAAAAACTATTGAGTTCTGTCAACACAAAACCACAACTGTGCTAAACATGTCAGAGAAAGGATACAGTAACACCTACAGTTCAGGGGTCTACTGCTTCAGGTCCAGCTGTTTACAATCATGTGCACTCCCAACACAACAATCTTGACCGTGTTTGACTGAGCACAACCGATTACTATCACCGTGACAAAAGTGCAATCTATCAGCTGAACACAGCCCTAGAGGACAATAAATACCTCAGATATCTTTCCAAGAATGGTGGCCTGTTGCGAGAGAAAGAGGGTCATGATGTCATCATGTATCAGAAAAGTGCCAGGGGGCAGAGTTCTCAAAATGTGCAAATGGTTACATTAAAAAAAATATGCTGGAGCTTAGTGTAAACGAATTACAGAAAGTTATGTGTCAAGAAGGAAATCGTCTGTAAAACCACACCACAAAGTTGCTGCACAAGGGATCTGACAATCTATGGAGGGGGGTGGTTGTGATTTATTAGGGAAGAAATGGGCAACAATACACGGCTACACCAAGGTCGAAAGAGGAGAGTGACCACACTGCAACAGCATCATCTGCACCACATCCCAGCTACGTGTTGTGCAACATATGTCGGAACAACAGAGTTTGTGTGTTCTGACTCAGCAATGAAAATGTGCAAACCCACACAGTGAAGCCACACGTCTTAACAACCTCAGCCTGGTGATGAATAACACAGCCAGAGGTTGGGAAACAAATGCGGGGGAGAGTCACCTTTACTTACATACACGTAGCGAGCCATCTATGCAAAGGGAAGAAGGTCATATTTTGTAGCACACGTGTAAATGTGAGGATGATTTCGCTTTGTAAACAACTAAACCAAATCATGTGCGTCATTTATAGACTGTTTATCATGTGCATTTCAAATTTGTCACGCCACAGTGCAGATTACCTGCAGGCTTGTGCTCTGGTCGGAGAAAGGAGAGCTGAAGAAACATGTGACAATGCTCATGACCATCTCGGTTACGTAACGCTCCAGCATGGTGTCCGCATGCTTCCTGTCACTGGTGTTGTTGCACACCTAGGAAGAAGGGACAGAAAAGATATTAGCACGGCCACTGGATCACAAGTCCTGCATGTGGGCGACTGGTCACACATGTTCGCCCCACGCTGTGTTGACATTAATTACCCGCACACATGAGAAGGCGTGGCAACGGCTTACCCTGCAAATGTCCACCAGGAAGTTCTCAAACAGTTTCCACATATGGTTGGACGTGTAAATCTCCTTCATCTCCACCTCTGTGTCAACGTAGCAGTGGTTGAGGAAGTTGATGTAGGCGATTTTAATCTGTCAGAATGCAAATGAACCGATTTAATGATACACATTACTTACTACTGTCAGGGTGAGCCTTGTCATCCATGGACAGAAGCTCTGAGCATGTCACCTCCAATGAGGTGTCAGATAAGAACCTACAAAACTAAAAGATGTGCAGAGACAATAATTATCTTTTATCTTCATATATCTGCCTCTTTCAAGTTGAGACATCTACTTGTGTTCAAAAAATGCAGGAAATGTTTCTCTTTCCATTGTTGGTTGCTGGCTCAACACTGTGATGCAATCATCAAGAAAGACTTGAGATATATTCCTTAGAGTGAAATAAAATTATTTTTGAATTGAGACATGTATGAACCGATAATGTAATGACAACCCAAACCGCTGATCATAAAATTTAGTTTGTTTGTTTCTAAAAAATAGGTTAGAAAAAAAGATGGATGTTTTGTGGATGTAAACACATTCAAAGTTGAAAGTCTGCACTTAAACCTCGTTTTAACGGTTTCATTCAGCTTCATGTGAGTTCCAGAGGCAAAACAACAAAAGCTGAATCAATGCAACTGGTTAAATACTGTCTACACAGACTACATTGTTTGTTTCAATGCACAAAGATATCTAAAGAAAGTTAATGCCCTTCACTTTAAAATCTAAATGAAAATAAAAATGTATACTTCAGGGATGCAGTCTTCATGGGTGACCACCCGCACAATGTCATCCAGGGGCAGCAGGGAGTTGCACTTGATCTCAGTGTAGACGTTCTTGCCCTCAGTGCAGACGGCCAGCAGCTCCACCAGGTGGATGTGGTACATCAGCGGGCTGTTTTCATCCATGCGGTCCCGCTCTGAGCGCATCATCTGGACGAGTGTTTGAAAGGAGGCGCGGTCGTTGTAGAAGACCAGAACGTCCTCGCCTGAGTTCACCAGCTGAGTGGGGAAAAAAAACACAGTACCAAGACATCTAGTTAGTGATCCCGTAAATCACATACACCAGTGAGTATGGATCATAGAACAGACCTCAGCCATGACAATATCCTGACACTTCTTGATGAACTTGTTCTCGGCCTTCACTATGGTCTGCAGGAACTTCAGATACTGGACGTGACGGCCATGACTCTCAGTGCAGTGGACAAAGTGTTGAACCACGCGCTCATTGATCTCACTGCAAAGCTGGAAGTTGTTCATGAAGATGTGCTGCATGGTCACTGCCTCCAAAATCTGACAGAGAGAAAAGAGACGACATGAAGGACAGTCCATCAAATTCACAAATGAACTTCAGATTTGTTTTCCTAAACTATTTTGGAAACGGAGCCATATCAACATGAGACTAGAAATACAGCACTGTTACTGAATGCCTCTGCCAACCAGTGCCATTTCAGTATACAAACATTTCTTTTTCAGACTCATATGAGGCCACCGTCCAAGTTAACTGGTCAGAATTTAAAGAAACTCCCTAAAGACAGACTTGAGATATATTCTTTATCTTTATATAACATTAAAGGTCCCAGTGACCTTGACCTTTGGCCTCCAAGTTCTAATCGAGGTCATCTTTGAGTCCAAGTGAAGGTTTGTGTGAGGTGTATGCAAATCACTTTGAATGTTGCTGAAATGTCACATAAACAAAAACATGGTCACTGTGACTTTGACTGATATACATTCATAATCTGATCTAATCTTTGAGTCTAAGTGAACATTTATGCAAAATTTAAAAAAGAAATTCCCTCAAGACTTTGACCTTAAAATTCTAATCATTGCTTCTGTGAGTCCAACTAAACATTTGCAAGAAATTTGAATTCACTCCAGGCATTCCTGTGATATGACACAAAAATGGAACAGACATAGAATGGACAACCACAAAACACAGTGGCTGTCGGCGGTGCAGAGGTATAAAAACATTCCCTGTGCTACTCACCCCTGGGTTAAGAAACAAGTTGATATGTTTGTGGAGAAGAGTCTGGTTCTGCTGATTCCCTGCACAGAAGTTCTGCAGAAACTCATGAGCTGTTTTCATGATCTCCTGCATTCGGACGTCCTCGCCCTAACACAGATAACACAGTCAAGGGTTTCTTTTTCATTAAGATTACACAGATGGAAAACTTTAAACGTGTAAAAGTCACATGATGCTTTCAGAGCATCCTCATAACTCTTCTGACCTTCTCATATGGGATCTGCAGGAGCTCAAGTACCACACTGTGAGCTCCCATGTTCCTCAGCAGCCTCTGCTGCTGCTTCTTACTCTTCCTCCCCGAGCTCCCCTCCTGGACACACAGCTTACTGAGGCGCAGCAGGATCTGAGGAGGAGCAGCAGGAGGGGCTTTAATTACACATGACAGGTCACAAACATGAAAATAGATTAGTGAGCAAATGATTGTACCTCTTTTACAACCCTGTAGTTGTAGCTGCTGGTGCTTTCTGTCTTCTTTTTGTCAGAACCGGGTGAATCTCCCTGTAAAACAAGCATCAGAAAGGAAGAAGAAATCCTTTATATTGAAATATGATCTTTACTGAGGTATATCCACCTTGTAACGAATTGTTCTACTCCAACAACAACCATTTCATGTTTTCAGGTGATCGGACACTGCACCTTCTTTTTGTTTTCAGACTCTGAAGGTCCATCTCCATCCATCCCATCCTCTCCCTGCCTCTTGTACACCCACAGCTCAGATTTCTCCACGATAGAGCGCAGCTGGTCCAGATCCGACTTGATCTGCTTGTAGTTGTCCACGTCCTGACTTGTTACCAGCAGCTGGACCTGAAGAGAAGAGACGAGAGAAACAAAAGTTCAGACAAAATCCGTAGATTTTCCGTTTCTAGTGCTGCACCTGCAACATAAAGCTTTGTGCACGGTCAGAACACGGTCCCAAGCAGAGCATTGAAAAGTGATGAGGCTTACTTGTTTGAAAGCCATTAGAACCTCCTGCCTCTGGCTGAAGTGTCTGAAGAGCAGGTGGAGTGCTCCAGACACGAGAGGGGGGTAGTCATGCATGGTCAGGTGCAGCAGGACCCTGAGGAAGGTACGACCACCGTGGTCATCCAGGTCTAGTGGAGTGTTCTCCTCACTGTAAAGACAGTGCCAGAACATTACATCAACTTTTATCTTACTATATCTTGCTTCTACAAAAAAAGATCAGGAAGCTGTGGATTACCTTCCTCCAAAGATCCCCTCTGCCTGTTCCTCAATGTTCTCAAAGTCAAGATTTCCTGCAGGAAAAGAAAATGTACTTCTTCAAATAAATCCCTGTCAGCATACATTTCTTTCATTGCTTTCAGTAAATCGTGTGGTTTCATACCTGGCATGGAACCTGTGATGTGATTGGTTCCGTTCTGACTGGCAGTGTTGTCTCCTTGTGGGTTGTTCTCATCAAACTCACGTTTGAATATACAGAGCAGGCAGGAGATTCTATAATCTAACCGCACATTCAAAATGAACTGAAGGGAAAGAAAAAAAGAATACAGTTACCAGCAGGCTGAGAGTTTAGGTAGGTGGAGGAACCAGAGTTTTTATGCTTCACCTGTAGAATCTCAATGATCTTGAGCTTCGTGTCCATGACCATGATGTCTTCTCTCTCAGGTTCAGTCTGGGTTTTGACCACGTCTCCCTCCGGCTGATGAGTTGGCGTTGTCGGCAACAAGCCGCCTCCTCGCAGCACCACCTGGGTCATCAGCTCCCCCACTCCATGGATAGACTTCATCACATTGCTGCCAGCTACAGCATGTTTAAATGGAAAATGGAATGAGCTGCAATCTGTCCTACGACTGTAGTTTTATACTTATGCTTGTGCTGATGATTGTAAATGTTTCCTTTTCTCAGGTCACTCTTGAAAAACATTGAAACATTTCAATGAGACCGCCTGATAATAAAGGTTGAATGAAAAATTTTTTTTTTTTTATCTTAGAAAACAATGAAATTCATGTCCACTGTATCACAGTGTCGTTTCTTGTCAATTAGCTTTTTATTACATATCTGTGAATATGAGTGATGCAGATGTTAGTGTAGTTGTCGATGGCTGCTGAGCCAAGTTGCTAGAGTCAGATTTTAACAAATTAAAAAGAGCAGGTGGTTATTTTTGGTCGATTCTCGAGACGGTTCTCAGACCGATCAGTTCTCCTAAACCCATGAGTCAGTTTCTCAGTCCCAGTCACTATTTACATGTTCTGAAATAGGTGGTGAAGTTTGTCATGGTTAAGCTTCTGGTCCCCCAAAGTCAGACAGAGTGGTACCTCCTGTCAACAGCAGTGCAGATGTGAAGGAGTTTCCAATGTTACCTCCTGTTTTTGTAGCAGAGGACTGCTGGCAGAGCCAACAACACACCTGGCGTTGTATTGAGACCAACACTCCAAGGTCGCTCAGATGGGTGCAAGTGCATTTGCAATTTAAACATAATGTCTGAAGGACGGGGAAACGACCATGCTGCTCTACACTTGACATAAGAGAGAGCCCTTAGCTTCTTTTCTTTAAATTACTTGCATGTAATTTAACTGTAAATATCTACAAAATGAGAAGTGAATCAGTGATAATTAAAATTATATTGTTTCTTCAACAAAGTGTGACTACAAGTTAGGTCTGAGACTAAGGACAGAAACTGACAGATGAGTGAGTTAAGCTGTGGATGATGTGGTGGATGTTTACCTTTGTTTTCCTCTCCCTTCTCCATCTTGTTGATGGGGTAAATGGTGCTGACGTGCACACAGTCTAAAATGTTCAGTAAGATCTTAGTCAAGCGAAGCAGGTCGCTGAAGTTGTAGAAACCAAAGTATATGAGGTTCCTCGCCAGGTTCACTACCTACAGACAAGAGGATTCAAAACCATGATTTAAATCTTCATTCAAAACAAAGTGGTCACTTATCTGCTCATTCCATCAACTGAGAGGCAGTACCTCGAAGGTGAGCTTGTTTTTCTCTTTGTCAGAGAAAGGAATGTTCTGCGACACCACCTCTCTCAGGTAGTTCTCCACAAAATCCATCGTTAGGCAGAAACGCTCTTTGATCTCGTCTCTGGTGGTTCCATCGTTGTCATAGCTACATAATAAGAGAATCACGTCACATCAAGTGCAATGAACTCTCCGAAATGAAAATACAAGCCAATTAAATGCGGATTCATTGACATGGTTGTTAATCTAATGTTAGTAAAATGTTTTTCTGAGAAGAACTCACTCATCGATGGCGATTTTGGAAGGAATCTCAGACCAAAGTCGAGCATATTTGACAGGTGTGACCTGCTCCTGAGGGTCGCGGTCCACGTGCATGTGCAGCATGAGGCGGCAGAATGATGCCCGCAGGTCGTAGGGCAGGTCCTCATCGGACATGCAGCGCAGAATCAAATCCACATCCAGTTGTCCTGAGATTTTGTTGATGGCCAGGTACTGACGGTCCAGACACATGCGGGCAAAGAGGTTCAGCTGACACCTGAGAGGAAATATTCCATATTTTGATCACCAAATTCAACACTGCACTTTTTCAGGCCATGAAGAATACACAGGCCAAGTGTAAAGCCAATAGGATAAATTCCACAGACGGATATTTGTGTTATTAGGAGATGACAATTGGACTTTGTGGTTTCAAATGCACAGTAGAATCCTATTTTGTCAAACATCATGTTAAATTTAAATCAGTCAAACAGGATTTTACAACAGAATGCTTGTTGTTGTAAAATAATTCAATGATATCTCACCTGTAGTAGCTGACCACCTCCTGATCCTCCTTCTGGCCCTCCTTTGCATCCTGGGCCAACTCCCTGATGCTCTTGCTCCGGATCTCCTTGCAGTTGTCTTTCCAAAACAGCCACACCTCCTCTTCATCCTCTGCCTCCATCGGGCTCTCCCCGTTTGTCGTCATCTCGATCTCGAACCTCGACAGGACCAATCTAAAGTGTAAAAAGCAAACGGGTCATTCCAAAGTGCTCCTTTTTTCAGACGTGATACAGCCCAGAGAAAAGTGAGGAGCTGACTTGGTCTCGATGAGGATGTCAGCGTTGGTGGGGTCCAGCACTGCATTGCAGATGAGCTCCTGGGTCACGGGGATGGACTTATTCATGGACACGCAGAGATCAGACAGGTAATCTAGAAACCTGGATGCAGATCACAAAGCACGAAATATGTTTTCATTGACACCAGAGATAAAAGATATGGATGGACAATTTGAGATCATGATATAGTCAAAAGTAAAAATGTTAAATCTGACTTTAATACAACAGTTCAAACTGTGAAGGCCTCCTTTATTCTGCCTTCTGAATCAGCCTGAAAAACATTTGACTTTGACTCAGCAGAGGCACACTGTCAACAATTTAGCTGCCGAGCCAAGATCATGCACAAGCAGTCACACTCACACCCTTTAGCACAAGCCTGAATACATTTACATAGATTTAAATATCTTTAGACTGTTATCCAAACAAATCTGACCCAGACTGTCCACAGCCTGTGCTTCTATGTCAGTTTTATGATACCAGCGCGGGACAGTGGCATCCTGTGTGACTCACCTTGGCTCCTGGTTCTTCCTCACCAGGGTGACAAATGTGTCTATCTCAGCGGCGGTGATGTGTTTCTCCAGCAGCTTCCGGTTGTTGTGGAGAAGAGCCGTTATGGTGTCCTCAGCCAACACATCATAACCTATCTGCTTCTGCATGAAGCGGAATTGTTTGGCTATATATTCCTGAGAAAGAGGGAACAGTTAAAACAAAGATCTCACATCAGGGTCAGAGTGGCGCTGCTGTGTCCTCATACCTGGTTCTTCCTGTAATCCTGCTGAGAATGGCGTAAGACTCTGTAGCAAAGCCTGCAAATATGTCTAAAAGGAGCGTGCCGCTGGTCTCCGAGTTCTTCTAATCGGAGCATGGGACCATCACCACTATCTGTGAAAGGGGCTTGGAGGAGTTTGAAAATCTGCAATGGAAATGGAACATTTTTATAACTCTCAAATATATAGTTGAACCTAAATTTGGATATATACAGTTTCAGTCCCTGGGGTTTAAGACCAACCTGCTTAAGGATATTCTGCTCTCTCATGAGTTTCTGTCTTTCTCTGTTGGGTTTGTTGACCATGATGTCCAGAACATCCTGCCCACTGTTGGGGATGTCCACGACGAAGAAAACTAGATCTTCAAGAAGTTTGGTCACAAACCTGGAATTTTCACAGATGCACACTTCAAAACAATTTCAGGAAAACACATTATAGAGCAGCCATTTCAATGATAATTGGGTTTCCTTCACAAATAAATACACAGCAATACTACATAGTAGAAAATAAAGAATAATGTTCTGCTATGGATATTTCTCCCCACATACCTTCTTTCATTTTGTGTTATAGTTCCCTTTTCCAGTTTGCCAGCAATAGATGCCAACACTTTACTTGCATCGTTAGCAAAATCCAAATCCCGCACTTCAGCTGGCGGCACAGGTACAATGGCGAAAGCTTCCTTGTCTTCTTTTACTCCTGAAGTTCCAATCTGGGGTATGCAATTGTTTTTAGTTTTTCTGATCACAACAGCTCAGCCGTGCCACACATCAAGAAATCAGCCAATTACCTGTAACATGACAGGTTTCTCCTCCTCTTTGTCGATGGGGTTGTTGGTGCTGTGGACCCACGTGTTGGTGCACAGGTGTCTTAGCCTCACGTATGAGCTCCTGCAAGTAACAACGGAAAGTGTTTGAGGTGACAAAGCAATGTATCAAGTTTCAGGACACAGAACAAGTGTCTTAGAGTTTTATCTAGAACTATCACTTTGTGGTTGTATGTTTCTGCCAGTCTATATAAAAAATGTGAGGTCACAGTGAACTTTGATCACTTAAATCTAATAAACACATTTTTGAGCTTTGAGCACCCAACTCATGGTCCATTGACATTGCCCTTTAGTGAGTAACATCTGCACTAATAACTTTGCATATCCTCACCAAAGTATTGTTTTCGCACCATTTACATCTGTATTTCTAAAGAACTAATGAGAAGACAAATTAAAGGATGAGTGGTTTTCATTTGGATACATCACAACGTTAAATACAAAATCACTCACAGGTTACAAGAATAACTTCAGCCCACAACATATCTCACTACCTGTTGGGCCAAAGGCCAAGACACTAAAATAAAACACTCTGATGATCCCAAGGGAACAACTTGTTTTAATCTTAAAACTTGCGTGGTCTCTAGTGTCAAATTCACAACATACTGTCAATAACAAACCTGAACAGAACGTAAAAAATATTGACAAAACCCAAAGTTTGTGTTGGTGTTAGTAGTGTCTTTGTCTGTGTTTTAATTATGGTATACAAGAAAAACAATGTAATCTGTGCTTACCTGTGTATGTGTGTGTCTCCTATAAATGTCATGAGAACTGTATTTTACAGTCAGAGATGGCTGAATGAACTAGCTGACTATTTGTCTTTGCCTAAGAAACAAGCTTCACAAGAATGCCACTATGTAGAGCCTCTAACATTTCAGCATCTACAGTGCAGGAATCATGATACTACAAAGATTTACTGAAACATGTTAACTCATTGACTTCACTTGAGTTGCTGAATTTCAACCACAATAACTGTGACTCTAAACATGACGAATATTCAATTTACATACATGAGAGAGTCCATTACTTTTAAAGGCCTCATAAATGATCATAAAGCAACACCTCTCTGTGACAGTGTCAGCAAAAACAGAAGATTGTGATGCACACCATGAAGACAGGATTTCATTCAGATCATACTGTGATACAGGTGGATTACACAAAGAGGTATATTTATATATATTAGTAAATCAGTTTGCGGCCTTGCTGCTCAGAAGCAACACATGATTGAGGCATGTAAACAAATTGCCTGTGTCAGGAAGAGACTGCTTACAATGGCCTTAACCGAGTGCGTGGTCTGAAGACAGATTATCCAGTAGTGACCTGTACAGTGTCGTCTCTCCGACGGTGAACACTAAACCTTTACGCACAGTCACGTCTGAGCCAACAACATCCTTCATTCTCAAAGCACCCAGCCTGCTCCACGTGTGTGTGCGTGAGTAGGTGTGTGTGAGTAGGTGTGTGTCACTCTCTCAGGCTTTCAGCACAGACATCAGTAGGCATATTCTTGGCAGGCGTTATGTAACCGCCCTCTAAAGCTAACAGGCTTACCTCTGTATACTGGTTCTCCCAGGTATTAATTTGTCCCCTAGCATAAATCTGAGGGACAGGGTTATTTCAGGTAGGAGTGGGTGGGGCCAGCAGCAGTAGCCGTAGTGCAGTAGTGTGCAGACACACATCTGACGATGTAATACAATAGGGGCTTTGACACAAGGTGGAGAGTTTGTGTTCTTATATGATGTGTGGTGACAGGGACACTAACACAGAAACATCACATTATTTTCCAACCTACTAAAAAAGAGTTTTTGTTATATCGAATCTGTGATTCAGAATGACTCATTTTATGCTGCTCTGGGAGTAAAAAGATAATTTCATGGGAAAGTATTTATCTCAAGTATTTATCTCTCAGCTGAAATGCGAAACCATATGAATTGTTTACACAACATCTGGTTTCTGGTTTTAGACCAAACAGGCATCAAGGATTTTTCCACCCATGTCTTCTGACAACAATGGTTTCCTGTTGCATGATTGCACCTAGACAGGTGATCGCACATAAATGTGTAAAAGTGCATCACGAATAAGTGAAAAGACAAGACAACCTAACTTCAGGCTTCACCTTTACATATCTAAGGGTGAGTGGACAACATTTGGCAAAGTCTGCATAAAGAACCTATCGAACACACACAGGCTTGTGCAGCTATTCCTATTCGGACTTTGCATTGACTTCCATTCATTGTGGACAGCCTAACCAACACCTTATCCCTAACCTTTACCATGACCAATGCATGCCCAACCCAAACCTTGACCAGGAGCTCAAAAATTACTTCTAGCCTTATTAGGACCAGGCCTTGGAACCCTTGAAGTCTACAGGTCCTGACAAGGCCAGTGTTTATGGTAGAAAAGGTTCTTAAGAGGTATTAAAGCAAGTACACACAGATGTCTGACCTAACAATCAATGGGTTTTTTTTCCTTGTGACTATTAAAAAGTTTGATCTTTCAGTTTGAGAGTAGTACATAATAATTTTGCATTCAGATTTTTGTTATCCTTTCACTCACACTCAATAGGCCCCTGCTTGTGCTCATACTGTGCACTTGCACTCTGATTTCCTACCTACCAGGTTCAGCTCTTCTCTCGTGGACACGCAATTCTGTATCGTATGAAACATCAGCATACAGGAGTGCATGCCATGAAACCACCCGTGCAGGACTCTCAAAGAAGTACAGCTAGCACACCCACAACGAGGGCAGGACATATTCACTTGTCAACACCTAAAATTCTATTGGTTGGGAATTTTTGACAGGCTTGTTGCTAAAAAAAATCCAAACGGAAATAAAATATCCAACGGAAGAAGATAAAATCAGAGATCAGACGTTTCACATGGCAGACAGGATGAAGCAGGAGTGCCAGTAGAACAGCTAAAGCTGGAGCGCAGGAAATGTGAGTTCATGCACACAGTTCGAGCACAGGTAGAGCAAATCTAAGTACAAGCAGGGGGTATTTGAGTGCGAGTGCAGGGTTTTGAGAGAAAGCATTACAAAATCGGAATGAGGGAGTCCTGCTCTCAAACTGAAATATCATACTCAAATAAAAATAAAAAACGTCCATTAAAATCCATTCTTTTGCGTCATATAAAAGATTTTGTAAAAACTGAACAAACTCATCACTTCAAAAAATCCCAACCTACTGATTTTCCAAATTCCCCTTTAACTCTACATATGAGTCAAACATTTACTGCTGCTACTGTTTGACATCACTGTGGTCTCTTTCATGGTGTTCAGACATTGATCATTTTTACAAGCATTTTCCAATATGCCAGATGTTGCATTTCCATTAGCAGAAACATGTTTCTCCTTGAGGGGTCTTTGACTCTTATATTTTAATCATCACTTTCGTGCAGTCTACGGCACGTACCTTATAAATAAAGATGGTTCTGATATTTAACCGTTTTCATGCAGTTGTCAGAGGAGGGATGAAGATTCTTTATTATGTGAATTATGACGAATTCATGAATAATTGATTCTGATGTTTTTGTCAAGATATATATTATACCTGGGTACCATGGAGTCCCCCCCTCTCAGTGTGGTGGGATCCAGTTCAAAGATGGAGGAGATATCCATGCCATCGGGAACCGGCACCAGCGTGTACATGATCTTCTCCTGTGGAGCTCGCAGACGACCTCGCAGCGCTTCATTATCAGCATCCAGCTAGAGAAAGAAAACACAAAGTGAGAGGCACATGGCACACTGGCTTCAAACAGTGAAGGATATGATTGAATGGAGACCAATGATATTCCAGGATGAGACAGGGGAGCAGGCACGACTGAAGCTGATACAACTTATCAGTTCTTGCACCTGACTCGAAGCTGTACCAGTCAGAGAGGTCAGTTTAGGTCATCACTACAGACTGCTGGGTCTTGTTAGGACATATGTGAGAACTACAAGTGCACACGGCAGCTCTGATAAGGACAGTATAGGTTGGTACAACACTGCCACCTAATGGTGATTATCAATGAGACATGATCAACGGAGATGATGGCATGGAGGCACCATGTGGGAATCTACTGCTATTAAAATGAAAATTAGTTCTGTCATTAAAGAAGACCAAATTAAATACATTAGACAAAAAGCAGCAAAGACAGTGAGAGCATGCAGACATGGCAATGATAGTGGTTTGTGCTATAGGTTGCTGCTGCCAAATGAGGATTATATGACAGTACCTGGAAATTAAAGGGTGTAAAGTCCACCACCTAGACCAGACAGCAAAGACCCACCACAGAAGTGAGCAGGTTAGAAATAGATTAGATCAATAGCAATGTGACCAACGTGACGTTGCTAAGCACTCAGATGGAGGAAGATGAGGCCAACTTACAGAGGAGCGCTGCTCAGCATTCTCCTCCTCAAAGTCTTGGTTCACCTGGAAAACACACACATATAATATAAAATATCATCCTCAACATTGTTAATTTTGAGATTTAACATTTGACAGCGCTGTGCGAACCATGTCAGAGTATTTGCTAATATAAACTATATTAATAACTATTCATGCCAGATATGTGTAAAGGACAAAGAATGGTGTACACAGGTACACACATGACACACCTCGCCCATCTCAGCAGCTAAATAACATCCAGTGGCCAAGTGTTTAAACCTGAACAAGCTGTTCCAGTAGCCTGCACCTCCCCTGCATGGGTCATGGTGGACCACCTGGTGATGGCAGAAGACAAGAAAAAGAAGGCAAAATAAATCTAAAGTGAAGTGGTTATAAACTGGTTTTAATTGTGTCTGAGGGTTATGGTGTTGTGCTGACCTCTACTTCCCACAACGCTTTGCTGCTGGTGGCAGAGGTGGCAGACTGCCGGCCGGTGGTTCTGAGAAAAACATACTGCTTCTTCCTGTGATCGTCACATGTGAGAAATTTCTCCTGCTCTGCGTGGAACAACCGCACCACATCACCCTGCAATTACACACACACACACACACACACACACACACACAGTAATAAATATTACGTAAAGATAAATATTGCTATATATAAATACAGTAAAATACAGCTAAAATATTTGTGAATAATGTTTAGTATAATTTGATATATAAGAAATATCTGAAGGCACCTACCCCTTTAAGTATTGTTTCCTTGTTGTCGCTCCATTTCATGAACAGAACAACTTTCCAGCTCGTGTTGCAATTTACAGAATTAACCTGGAGAGAAGTGTGTGAAATTTAGAGGTTACGATAGTGTTAATGATAATGCAGGTTTAAAAAATAATTAATAATAATAATGACAAAAACATTGATGATCATAATAATAATAAATCCTTAATTATACAGCACTTTCATACATTTACATGAACACAAAAACAGTTGTAAAAAGTGATGGAAAATAAGACCAGAGTCTGCAGAGTATAACCACTGAATAATAGCTGTAAATTTAGGTTAGGATGGCAAACTAATAATGGTAAAAACAGCACATAAAAACAAGACAAATGCAACAATATGAAAGAAAAGGAATTGCAGCAGTCCCCTGTACCAGCAGATCCAGAGACAATGAAATGCTAAAGCTGTATCCCTGATATATGTAGGTAGTGCGTTCCATAACTTTAGAGCGTAATTCCTCATTAATCATTTAATTTCCTTTTGGCTGCTGTGGGGAACCTCCAATAAATGAGCATTGTTATTATTTACTATGCCGACTCATAAAGGCAGCATGTGTCCATGTACCTCATTGCATCCTGGGTTGTCCACGAGCTGGTGGCTGCTGGCATGTAGAGGCTGTCCGGCATTCACTGGGTTAAGAACCACTTTATCTCCAATCACCACCTACATGAGCAGTAAATATAGACAGAACATATAATATATGTTTATATAGCGTATATTCATTTGAAATGTTAATTCAATGGAGGGTAATAAAGAAATCTGGAAACAAGATAACTAACAGAAACCCCATTATCCCAAAGGACAATGACTTGAGCACATTCACGAAAACCTGCTCCAAACTGATGCTAATATCTTTCATAATCAGCTCAGATTCACTTGGAGAGATGAAAATCACAAGTCAGATGATTATTTGCATGATTATATAAAAGTGATAAAAGGTATGTTTTTATAATTTGGAACAATTATGGCTAAAATATGATATTGCAAATTATTTTTTAAACAGGAATTCATCTTGCGACCCTCCTTCTGTGTCCGACAGCCCCCCACAATCCATAATTTGGGAAACGCTGCTCTAAGGGGCCACTGTGAGGGATTGAGAGATCTTTTTAAAGTCCCTATCACGAGTATGTTACCTACCAAGACATAGATAAACACTAGGGGGAGTAGTAAGCCAGACTGAGTGAGAAACAACTGGAACAGACAGAACCATTTAAGTGTTGCACTGACCCTGAGCATCGCTTATGAAACATAGACACAAGGAAGCCTGAGCAGCGTGAATCTATAAAATATTGGAAGAATTATCAATCATGTATTTGTGATTGCTCTCACAACTGGGTGTATGGAGATTTGTGATGAATTTTACAAGAAAACCATCGTATTCAGGCAAGAATCTCAAGGACATAAAAATGTGAGCTGCCGTTTGGAGCTCAGTATAAACACTCGAAGTCATACTGACTGTAGATAAATCGACTATGTAACTATCCCAGCTAAGAAGCAGTGAACATTTGGACCGTCCACTCCTGCTATTGTCTTTGACCTGGAGTCCCCAGGCTCTGCTCTGTCCCTGTTCTCATGCCTGCTGCTTGTTCCTGAATATTTTAACGGAAAACTTGAAGTATGAATCAATGAAGTACAACTGAATTAGCCACTTCACCAACTTAACTCAACGTCCATCAGCCACACACAGAAACTGCAGCCTAATCAGCAGAGGTCATGATGTCCAACATGTGAGTGCCATTATTTTACTTACCTAGTTACCACTACAACAACTGATACCAAGCATAATTAGGACATAAGGCCCCTTCCCCCGGCATGCACCCACAGAACTTGAAATCATTTGGTGCTATCACAGATACCATTATATTACCTTTCAACATCAAAGGACAACTCTTCACGACATAATCAACTGTGAAGTTTCATGATACATTTGTTATTGATTTTTCAAATAAGGGCTGTAAAATGTCTGCATGGCTGTGAATGTGAGAGTGAATGGTTGTTAGTTTCTGTATGTTGGCCCTGGTATAAGCTGGTGGCCTGTCTAAAGTGCATCCCGCCTTTCACACAGTGTCAGCTGGGATTGGCTCCAGCTCCCCCTCTCTTATTAGTGCAAAAGTCGGATGACGCTTTTCTTTACAAATATGGTCTTCTATCTAAGTGCCTTCTGTAACAAACATTATCTGTCTAACTGATCCAGCAGCCTGCAAAAGAACAATGGTGATAATAAGATGTTGTTGGGGTTTTCCAAACAAAATGGCGCTGCTGTGTCATATTCTCTTGCCTTGTTAGGCAGGTAATTCAATACACCAACCAAATTCAAGCATCTGGAAATGTAAGACTTCCTCACCCTTGTCTTCAAACACCAAGCTACACAGCAGCATGTGAATCCTGTGATGAAACCCTGTCTAAAAGCACATCCTTCATTTCTCAGGCTGAACACACTTAAAGGTACAGTGTGTAGAATTTTGTGATATCTAGTGGTGAAATTTCATGTTGCAGCTGAACACCCCTCACCTCACCCTCCCCTTCCAAACATGAAAGAGCACCTTCAGTTGTCATAAAAACTCAAAGGTGATTAGTTTGTCCAGTCTGGACTAATGTATAAAAACATGTAGAGGGTCCCCTCGATATAAATATAAAGTATTTAAATATAAAGGATCTTTTCTGGGTTAAAGAAAACTACAATTCATACAATTTAGATGAAATGAACTAGTGAAAACAGCCAATAGTTCCCTTTCACCTAAATCTTACACACTGGACCTTTAAGTGGAATCCCACACCCTGCTCTACCCACACTGTCTCCCAGGGACCGGAGCTTGTAGAAGGGTTGGATGTAGAACCAGGATCCCTCGTTTCCCGCAGAGTCCAGAGTCACTCTCATGGCGTTCTTCTCCAGCAGAGCGGGTAGGCGCTTGTTCACCGTCAAGTATTTATTGCTTTTCAAGTGCAGCAACTGTTGGCAAATGAAGAAAATGTCACTCTACCAACAGTGAAACAATGCAGACAGAGAAAAGAGTTAACAACTGGAACAAACGAGAAAAGATGGAAATATGTCATAGACTGGCACAGCAAGGCCCGAGGGAAGTGAAAATATGCATCTTTTTGACATATTTATATCACTTGTACTTGAGATCTATCCAAAAATACTTCTCATGACCTCTGCTGCAGCTTCAATCATTCAATAAATATAATAAATGACCAATGTGCCTGTAATGATACTGTATAAGGCCAACAGGCCCACTGATGATCAAACTAAGTGCTCCACTTAATCCTACAACATAAAATACGATGTTACTGCTATTCTGAGTAGACTGGATACAGGTTATACAAGATGTTACCACATTTGCAAGGATAAAATGCATTTTTAAATGTTTTTCTTTTAGTATAACATTATCTAGTTGGTGTTCACTGTATTAATGAAAGGACAGTCCACTGCAACTAGGTATGTGTGCATGTTCCTTGTTCACATCAAACTGCAGGAATGCTACAGTTGACCTGTGTGCAAACCATTCCTGAGCAATGAGCAAAAAAAAAAAGATAAGACTTTGCAAAAGAGAAGCTCACAGTGTGCCTTTGTGCTGCAGCAGTTATTTAAAACAGACTGATTATCAAGCACACAGTGTCATACATGGAGTTAAATGTTGCACCAGCTCTGTGAAAAGCACTTATCTCATGGGTTCCTGAACGCACCTGAATGACATTTCCATACTGGATGACTGTTCCCAGCAGTTTGCGGTTTTCAGACTCATTCTGCTTCTTCTCCAGGTCAGCAGCGTGCTAACACAACAGCAGGGCAGAGAAATACTCAATGAAGAAACACACAGAGCATTGAGTCTTTCCACATCAATGTTCAATCATACATATCCGTTCCCTGTATTTATACAGCAAAGTATTCATTACTGATTTTGCACAACTTGTACTGTTTACAACAAACACAACCAGTAAGCATTTTCGTACAATTCTATAACTTATTTGTTAATTTTTTTGTCATCCTAATGGAAAATCAGAGTATACTGTTGTTGACAGATTTTCAACACAGCACTACAGTACTGAATATTTTAGTAAAGAGTTAGTCTCACGTGGAGTTTGTTCAGGAGGACTGTGTCAGTGGTGCTGTTTCCTCCAGGTTTTGCCGCCTTCCAGAACTGTTTCTGTGCCGAATATCTGTTCATAGGACACAATTTGAAAAGGCAGTCTGTGGAAAGGAGACAAGAAAAGCGAGAAAGTCAACACTCAACATATAGTATAAAAGCCTATTTCTACATTACTGCCTGGTGCAACTCAAAAGAGCACAGCCCAGTTATGGGAATATTCACGTAATACAATATACATGCTAATATTTAATAACCTCATCCTCCATCTACATGTTTACGAGAGCAGAAGGACTAAAAGGATCTAATTAAAATATTGGTTTGCACCTCATGCTCCATACAGAATAAATCATTTTGTCTATGAACCCTCTGTGGGCTTTTCTCTTGTGCTTCCTTTTGGTCAAAATATTGTGTAATATGTTGTTTTCCTCTGCCCTATAGTGACATAATACACATGGTAAAAAATGGTAAAGATCCAGTGGAGTGAAGCCCAAATAGCACCTTAGGGCCACAGAGCTGAAGTGGACAAGTGCAAAATGTTGTCTAGTTAAGGCCATTGGGACAATTTTTGTTTCAATCAATGAATCTGTTTGCATGTTTTACTGCTAGCAAGTGTAGCAAATCTGTTTCAAAACCAATTATTTCATATTATTAAGAACAACAAAATGTGTATAATATGAAATAATTGGAAACAAAAAATGATTGGGGCGGCATGGTAGTGCAGTTATTAACACTCTCTTCCAGCTTCCTCCCACAGATTAGGGTTCGGTTAACTGGAGACTCTAAATTGACCGTAAGTGTGAATATGAGTGGAAATGGTTGTTTGTCGTTGGTCCTTCAATGCGCTGGTGATCTTTCCAGGATGTAACCCGCCCCTCACCCAATGTCAGCTGGGATTGGCCTCAGCTCGACCTGTGACCCTCAAGAGAATAAGTGATATAGATAATCTTTGAAGTTTGGCATCTCCACAAGATCCACTCACACAACTAAAACCTCACACCTTATCTCACACATGCACATTTTAAAAAGATTAGACTGTTATCTTAGTCTTCCCTTTTTTCTTGCTCAGTTTATCACACGTGGTACTGCTCTGTGTTAACTGGAGCAGGGAACCTGAGGAGCCAGGGTTTAAAAAACCACTCTGGCATCGTCCTCTGCTGAACATGCAGCCAAAACGAGAGTACAGGGAATAGACCTCAAGGGGCAGAGTGGAAGAAGGAGGACAAGGACCAATGTGGAAAATGGGGCACTGGGAGAACATCTGTCTGATAAGGCTGAGCAAATGGGGTTAGGGAGAAAAGCAGAAAATAAATGAGGAACAAAAAAAAAGGAGAAGGAGAAGGAGGAAGAAGGTATTTGGGTTACACAACATTGACCACGGGATAACGAATGAAGGGGGAGTGTATGTTATGTAGTTTCTTTTTTTAGATAAATGTTCATAGCATATAAAAGAAAAGACCGTTTTTATGGGTCAACATATTTATCAGGAACACAGAGAAAGACAAAGCTACATGATCCATCAGGGGAAATACTAGAACGTCACTAATAACAACTTGATGCTGCAGTGCACAGTGACAACATAAAGCTTTGTCTGAAGCACATTTCAATTGTTTACAGAGAAAGGTAATTAAAGGCTGTGACTAGTTGAAGTACATTATATTAATTTTATCCATGTGTCCAAATTTAAGTGTTTGCCTCATATTGTAAATGGTTTGTATTTATAAAGCACACTTCGGCATGCGGACTGGAGGAGCTGTGGATCGAACCACCGATGATATATTGAATATGCTGTCCCATATTCTTCATGTTATATATACTACAAACTATATTCTTTCCATGAAAATGTGCCTGTCTGTAGAGGCTTGTCTTGCTCTGACACTGGCCCAGTTTAAAACAAGACAATACATCTCAAGGTGTTTATCCTGTGACAGTAAATGTATGACTGTGGTGTCACTTTTGGCCATTTTTTCATCTGATACTCTTTATATTTATTCAAACTCCATCTATTTTGATCCCAACTACACTCCTGTAAAGTGTCATGACAGTTATGACACTATTTATCAGCCACTCAGATCGGAGGGGAGGAAGCAAGGTTTGACGTGCCGTGCTATAGAACAGTACAATACAGACTTCTTAAAAAGCTTAAGTGTGCTATTAATACTCAGTGGGGATGTGAGGATTTACTCTGGGTAAACTTTGCCCACACTGGCCTCAATAAGACAGGAGACACACCACATCCTGTGGTTGAATAAAAAACGACTTTATGATACCT